GACAGCTTTTTGAGGGGCGGGTTAGCTCCCTGTGTCCACGTCGTCCCTTACAGCTACGCGTAATGGTGTCCTCCCTGTGCCGCTGCATCGGTACCACAACATCTCCTTAAGGCGTAGACCCAAATTATTTTCTCACCCCTGGCAGCTCTTTAGAATAGAATGACAAGAATTACAATTACTCTTTTATGTTTAATCTTTTTTTCTGTTTCTCTTGGTTTCACCTGAAAATTGTGGTGGCTAATCCCACTCCCAGGCTGGCTGTAGCATTATTTGGCTTCCAATGATGTCTGTAAATAAACATCAGCTTTTGATGGATGCTTCTACAAAGAAAAAACTAGTGATTGGTTTGAAGGTTTCACAAAAAGTCACTTTTACAAGATTTCAACCCAGGGTTTAATTTTGAGTGCCCGCTTCCTTTTGCAGTATGCCGTCTTCGAGCTGCAGTTGTGGTTTATTATTTTAGCAGAGTCATGAATCGCGTTTGTGCCCAAAATAGGTTGATGCTGGGCTTCAAACCAGCCAAATCCCCCGCAAATCACCTTCAGCTGAAAAACTCTTCCTGTTGTCATGCTGATGACAAAAAAATCATTGAAAACCTCCTAGCCTCAGCTAAGCCAAGCTACTGGTGCCCAGGTAAAACGTCCCGTGTCCCAGGGTGTTATTCCTCCCGCTAACCATCCGGCTGAGTTTCCAGCGGGTTTGGCTGCAAGGTTGGTTTTTTGAGGTTTCCCATCGCTCTGCTTTGATCGCTCTGGACCACAAGAGGTCGGCAAAATTCAGGAGACGTAACCTGGGCTCTGCCTTCGCTGCGGGGCAGCAGACTGGCACGTCCTCACCCGAGCTGCCCGGGCACCCGCTTTCATTCCAGGATGATTACTCCGTTGAAAGAAACACCCCAAACTAATTATACTGGAAGAAAATCAGGGTAATTTTGGAACAGGGCATGTGTTGCTGGGGTTTATTGCCAAGCCATTCTGCTAACTGCTTTCATGTGTGGCAAAGCCCGGGCACTCGGGGGAATTAAGAGAGATCAAAAGTATTAAACGGGCTCTGCCCGTTTGCCCTGCTCTCCAGAGACTCCTTTAATTCCTCTGCTCCTGGTACGAAAAGTCCCAAGCTTGGGAGGTCACTTCAGGACATAGAGCCCCGCCGTGCCGTGCTGCTTGGTGCTGTGCCCAAAGGTGGCACCAAGCCATTAACCAAAGTCCCCCTTCTTTGTGGTTTGCAGCCCGGCGAACCCTAAGCGCTGCCTTCAGCAACGCGCTGCCTGCAGAGTGATGGTCTTAAAATGAAAAGGTGCTGTGAGGGCGTCGGGCTGCCATGCCTGTTTAAGGTCAGTGCTGTTCTCACCTGTCTTATCCTCTCTGAACGGGGCTGTCTCCTCTCTTCTCGGGGTCAGGGAGCAGGAATCAGGTCCCCATCCTGCAAACCTCTGGCCACAGGCAGCATGGGAGCAGCCGGGAGGCAAGCGGGTGCTGCTGGGGCCATCGTGGCTTTAGCCGAGGGGAGTGGGTGGGCACCGGGAGGCTGGGCTGGGGCTCACCAGCTTTGCACCGTGTTGGCAAACTGGGTTTACTTTGGTTTTAGTGCAGGGCAGGAGGCAGCTCTGAGTTACCCCAGGCTTCTCAGGAGCCTGCGGAGCCCGACCCAGGGGGAAACTGCATCCAGGTGATGGAGCAAAAATCAACCTGCAAAATGTTTTCCTCTGTCGGGAAGAGCCCGAATTGTCCTGGCAGCAGGAGGGGTCTGCAGGGACACAAACCCCTTTGCAGAGGGGGCACAGGAGCAGGTTGGGGAGTGAACCCCTCCCTGCGGGTCCTCCCTGCACAAAACACCCCAAGGCGCGGGCTGTCGCCGCGTCCCTTGGGAGGACGTGTGCGGCGGTAGCTCGGCACAGTGACTGCCTTGACTGCAGGAATGGGATTAGTGGTGACAAAATGATCTCTTTATAGGTAGGATAAACGCCTTAGGGCTGGGGCTGAGGTATGTCTGTGGGGGATTAGCCCCCGCAAGCCCAGCTGGGCTAATAAGCTGCCTGGGGGCAAGGTAGCATTGCTCTGCGGGGCTGGCAGCCTCTTGCTGCTGTGGTTGCCACCATTGCTGTGCCAGGGCCAAAGCAAAGTGCCTCGAACTAACGGCCAGGCGTTATCCTTCCACCTCGCAGGGTGTTGGTATGGCCAGCCCCCGGCCCCCGAAATACCTCTTCGTCTTTGATTTCGACGAGACCATCATCAATGAGAACAGTGATGACTCCATCGTCCGGGCGGCGCCGGGACAGGCGCTTCCAGAGCACATCCGACAGACCTTCCGCGAGGGCTTCTACAACGAGTACATGCAGCGCGTCCTGGCGTACATGGGGGACCAGGGGGTCAAGATGGGGGACTTCAAGACTGTCTACGAGAACATCCCCCTGTCCCCTGGCATGCCAGACCTCTTCCAGTTCCTCTCCAAGAACCACGAGCTATTCGAGATCATCCTCATCTCCGATGCCAACATGTTCGGCATCGAATGCAATCTGAGGGCAGCCGGTTTCTACTCCCTCTTCCGCAAGATCTTCAGCAACCCATCTGGCTTTGACAAGAAGGGGTACTTCACCTTGGGGCCCTACCACAGCCACAAGTGCCTTGACTGCCCGGCCAACATGTGCAAACGCAAAATCCTAACGGAGTACCTGGCAGAGAGAGCCCAGGAGGAGGTGGAGTTCGAGAGGGTCTTCTACGTGGGAGATGGTGCCAATGATTTCTGCCCTTCCGTGACTTTGACTTCAGCTGATGTGGCATTCCCGCGGAAGGGCTACCCCATGCACCGGATGACCCAAGAGATGGAGAAGCAGCAGCCTGGAGCCTTCCAGGCCACTGTCGTCCCCTGGGAGTCAGCTGCAGAGGTCACCCGCTATCTCCAGGAGGTCCTCAAGAAGAAGTGTTGAGGATGGCTCAGAAGAGACTGGCGGCTGGGAAAGGAGAAGCCTTGGGGCGTCACGCCCTGTACCCCGCCGCTCATCGGCGCTGCTCGCTCAGCTCCCGCTCCTGGGTTGCTTTCCTGCCTTTCCTCTCCGAGCTCCTTTCTCCCCAGTGATTAAAGCACTTTTTCTAGGTCCCCCCTTCTTCCCCTGCCATGTTGAGATGAAGCCTTCTCTATGCAGCTCGGACATCTACCCCGTGCGGGTGTTCGCCAACACTAATGGTGATTTTTTTAATTGTATTTTTTTTTTCCCCTTTCCGTTTTGACTTCACAAGAGCAATTCCTAAAAGACCAGAAGCCGGCTCCCCACAGGCTGGGCCCTGCACATGCTTCCTCCTGCCTTCATCCCCCTCATCTGCCCGACCTCCACCGGCCACGCCAGGAGCTGCGTGCTGTTGCCTTGAACCCGATGCTCAAGGGCCCCTTGCCTCTTCATGAGGCCACTGGAAATTTAATCCGGGAAATTTGTGCTGCCCGGGCTCCCCGGCTTACCCTCCGCACCCCGCCTGGGCAGGGCAGCCCCTGGCTCAGCTGCTGAGCCGTGCAATGCAGTTAATCGTCCCTTGAGACTTTATTATCTGAAAAAAACATGACACGAGGACCAGGAAACCTTTTGGAAAGGTGGTACCTTAGGAAAAAAACCTCCTCTAGCCCCTCCCCACCCACTTGCCCAGGGCACGAGCACAGTGGCCACATCGTGCTGCGGAGAGGAGGACCTGCACTTGCCTTCCACTTCCATCTGCTGCTTCTGCTTCCAGGGCAAAACGTCCCCCGTGTCCCCAGGGCGGACAGGTTCCTCCTCACCCTGAGCTGTTACCAGTCACCTCCTGGTGTTTGCTGGATTGTATGGACTCCTCTTACCCCGGGGTGCAATTTCCCTCCTGACCTGGTCGAGAGGTGCTGAGCCTCCCCCGGAGGTGTGGTGCTGTAGCACTTCTGCCATCGGGTTGCTGGAGGCCAAACCCCCCCACACGCCCCCTCGCCCCGCTGCAGTATTGATTACCCCTTCTAATTGCACTCTGCAGGGGGGACCTACAGTATTCGCTGCTCTCTGGTGTTGGCTTCTCCTGGATTTATCCACAGCCTTACCGGCCCCTGAGGGTGGCTCCTAACTCCTCCAACGCCCAGAAACCCTGGCGGCAAACCTGAGCAGTAAGGAAATAACCAAAGCAGCTCTGAGTTGTTCCTCCTCTATTTCATTTCCCCCCCTCTTTGTTCTTCCTCCTCTGGAGCCTGTTCAACTGTGTGGAACTTAAAGCCATGGAATCAAAAAAAAAAAAACCAAACCATATATATGTATATAGATATATATCTATATATTGCAGATACACAAGTTGTTTGTATCCAGGACATAAACCTGGGTGTGAAACGGCTCTCTGAGTTGCACGTACGTGTTGTTTCTCTTCCTTGGGCTGGTGAAGGGGGGACAGCGTTGGAGGGGGAGCGGCAGAGTGGGGCCAGGCGACAAGCGATGCTCTGCAGGGGACCCTGTGGGGACCCCATTGGTGGAGGACTGGGCCCTGGCTCGTGCCTCTGCGCCTCACGCCGATGGGGACGGCGGGCAGGTTCCCTGGGGCCACAGCCGGGTGCTGCTCTCCTCGTCCCTGCGGGCGTTCGGCCCCATCTCCTGTAGCTGCGCTTTGGTCCTGCGCTGCCCTCGCTCCTCCCGCGGGGCCGGGAGCATCGCCAGGATCATCCACAGGACCAGCGTGCTGCCCGCTGCGTTTCCATCGGCGAGAGAGCTGCGGTATCCCGGTGCTAAACCTTCCCGGCGCCAGCAGCAGCCAGTGCTGCTGTCATTAATAACAAAGAAAAGGCAGATGGGAGAGGGGCCGGGCAGCGGGGTGCTCGGGGTGCTGCCAGGGTGCAGCGGTGCCGGCAGCAGCACCCAGTCTGGCTGCCCACACAAGGGCTGAGCTGTGCAAAAACCCCAGCTGTGCAAAGCCAAAATTCAAAGGCGAAGCGCAGCCCTGCCCGAGCAGGAGCAGGATGCGGCCGATCCGGGGTGGGGGATGCAGGGGGCTGCCTGCCCTCCGTGCTCAGAAGGGCTCCACGTAATTGCCGGGGAAGAAACCCGCCTCCTCGCCCATGACGCCCTCGCACCAGCCGTCTGAGTACCGCCGCGTGACGAAGAGGAGGGCGCCGGGCTGGAAGGAGAGCTCGTTGTCCTTCTGCCGCGTGTAGGGGTAGAGGGCCACCACTGTGAGAGGAGGGAGAGAGGGGCCATGGAGCCCGGCAAGGCCACCGCAGGGGACGGGCCACCGCCGGAAGGGCGGGAGCGGGGAACATGAGCAGACCACGGCATCGCTCGCCATCCCAGCCCTGGCCAACGCCAGGGCAGAGTTGGGCCCTCAGTGCTGTGGTTGTGGGCAGGGGCTCAACCGAAGGCACCACGGCCAAGAGAGCGGGGGGGTCTGGGGCTCCACCGTACCTTTCTCCAGGTAGCTCTCCGGGACCCAGGGGGGGTCCTCTGCGGCGGGCGGTGGCAGCGGCAGTGGGGCCAAATCCTCAAAGTCGAGCAAAGCTGGTGGTGGCGGCGGCTCGAGGTCATCGGGGGCTGCAAAACCGCAAAATCGATGGGGATGAAGGGCTCCACGGGGAGCAGAGGCCACGTGCAGCCCCCCTGTCCCCACTGACCCCCATGCTGAGCACCCCTGGGCCACCGAGCGCTCACCTGGGGGCAGGAGGTCCAGCGGGGGCACGGCCAGGTCCCCCGGCGGTGGCGGGGGCAGGTCCCCGGGCAGAGGCGGGGGCGGTGGGACGTCAGCTGCAGGCGCTGGGGATGGCCCGGCCCTCCGCGGGAGTTGAGGGTGGAGGAGCGGTGGTGGTGTGGGGGGGGCAGGCTGGGGACTGGCTCTGCCCCCCCACTCTTTGACCACAGACACGCGCCCCATGCCAGGACGGGGTGCCACTTGCTGCAGCCACCGCGGGCAGGAGATCCCAGCACCTGTGTGTATACCCCATACAAGCCCTTTCCCCACTCTGCCTCAGTTTCCCCATCAGGGACCTTCTCTGTAACGGGATTTTGCTCTAGAAATGAACACTGCCCAGGGCAGCGAATCTCCTGCTCCCCAAACCCCTATTTGTCATCAAAACCCCTTTGCAGCAGAACCTCCCTGAGCAGCGGGGTGCCGGTGGCTGCTCCGGGCTCTCCCGACACCCCCCCAGGCCCTCCCGACCCCCGGGCAGCACCGGTACCTGACGGATACGAGTGAGGAGGTGGAGGAGGCCGTGGAGAGCTTGCCCTCGGGAACCACGGGCGGCTGGATGGGCTCGGGGACACGGGTGCTTCTCCTGCGGGCAGAGCGGCCGCTGAGCCCCCAGCCCGGCCGACGGCTCGGCACAGGGGTGGGGATGGGATGGCAGCAGCATCAGGCGAGCCCACGGTGCACCTCGTGGCTTTGTCCCTGCCATCGTCACCTGCTCGGTGACACAGAAAGGCAAAGCCCCCGATCCCGCACCCATCCCCACCCACAGCCTCACCCCAGGGTGCCTGCAGCCTGCGCCGCCGACTTGATCCCCTTCCGAGCCAGGGTGCCCGTGCGGGACAGCTGGGTGCTGTGGTCCTGCGGCACAAGGAGACATGGAGACGCGATGGGTGCGGGCGGCTGCAGCTGCCCCACAAACTCATTGCACCCCAGAGAGGGCTGTGACCCCCCCCCGCGGGCAGCAGCACCCCGAGCTCATGACGGGAGCAGCGGAGCGGAAGGAGCCGCCAGCGCTGCGGTGCGGAGGCAGCCGAGAGACGCCTGCCACCGTGGGAACCACGGCCCCAGAGCTGCCACTTCCCCTCCAGCCTCGCGGCAGCTTCGCCGACGGCTCGCGCCGCAAGGCTGCCGAAACCCCCCGCCACGGGCGCCTTCCTGCACGGGCGGTTTTGGTACCGGGAAAGGCACCGTGGGGGTGAGAGCATCGCGGCTCAGCACCGGCCCCAGCAGCGCTGATGGCCTTGACTGAGCCTTGTGTGCCTCAGTTTCCCTTTGCTGCATTGGACCGTGTGCCTCCTCCCTAAGGTGGGACCCCCGAGCCCCAGCAGGATGACTCCCAGGGTGGGCTGTGGGGCACAGACAGACCCTGCTTCTCCATCGTGGAGCGGTTTGAGCCCACCTGTGCGGCCATCAGTGCAACCCTGGGGACGGCAGGGACTGAGAAAGCCCATCCGAGCCCCCGCGGGACCCCATCCTGGCCCTGGGCTGACCTTTATGCCGTGGCCGATGTCGTCCAGGATGCTGAAGTTGAGGGGTTTCCTGTAGTAGGGCTCCAGGCAGGGGGGGCTGGGGGGGGGCATGATCTTCTGGTAGGACGGGAACCTCTTGCTGACGGTCAACAAGCCGCTCTCCCGGCGAGACACCTTC